GAATTGGTAAGGCTTCAGCCTACTCCTTATTTCTCTCATAAATACAGAAACGGGAGGAGGGAGGTCACATCAAACTAGAAATAAAATATGTAAAAAGTATTGGTATTGGTATCAGTATCGGCAATACCAGGCTGGGTATTACTTGGTATTGGATCATATAGGAATTAAGTGGTATCGCACATCACTAATGTCATTGTCATCTTCTTCTTGTTTACATTATTTTGGGGGATTTAGCAGCTCAAATCCTACATTCTTGTCTAATGATCCAATGGCAACGTCACAGTCCTCCAGCACGGAAATGGAAGATCCATTCGTGCCATAAAAAGTGCTAAAATAGTGGTTGTAAGACTGTATCTCAACCACGTTACGTAAGTTACATAATGCAGTTGACTTTTCAATTCAATTTTATTTATATAGCGCCAAATCACAACAACAGTCCTCTCTGAGCGCTTTTCATAAAAGAGCAGGTCTAGACCGTACTCTGATGATATTTACAGAAACCCAACAGTTCCCACCAAGATCAAGCACTAGGCGACAGAGGCAAGGAACAACTTCCTTTTAAGAGGCAGCAACCTCGAGCAGATCCATGGCTCAGGGTGGGCGGCCATCTGCCTCGACCGGTTGGGGGTGAGAGAGAGAGAGGGAGAAAGAGAGAGGACAAGAGAGGAACAGAAAGAAAGAGGGAGGGCGATGGAAGGAGAGAGAGGGGAGGGAGGCAGCCTACTCAATATTCACACAGAGGTACAGACAGTAAAGGTAATGTTCCTATAGCCTGAATGAAAAATGGTACAGATATTTACAGTAGTGTTAATGATAATAATCATAATGTTAATCATTAAAATAACAATATAAAAAAAATAGGACTAGTAACAATAATTGTAGCAGAGGGTGTCGAGCAGGAACACGGGGGCAGCAGGTGACTCGCAACCACAGATCCAGACTCCACAGCTCCAGAGCCAGAATCACAGCCAGAAACAGATAGGAGGAGAGAGGAGAGGGAAGAGAAAGCACGAGACTATTGGAAAGGGAAGAAGTTAAGTTAGTAACATGTATTTATGGGATGAGGTTGCATACAGAGGGAGAGAAAGAAGATGAGAGAGGAGCTCAGTGCATCATGGGAAATCCCCCGGCAGTCTATGCCTATAGCAGCATAACTAAGGGATGGTTCAGGACTCACCTGAGCCAGCCCTAACTATAAGCTTTATCAAAGAGGAAAGTCTTAAGCCTACTCTTAAATGTGGAGATAGTGTCTGCCTCCTGAACCCAAACTGGAACCTGGTTCCACAGGAGAGGAGCTTGATAGCTGAACGCTCTGGCTCCCAGTCTACTTTTGGAGACTCTAGGAACCACAAGTAACCCTGCATTCTGGGAGCGCAGTGCTCTGGTACAATGAGCTCTTTAAGATAAGATGGTGCCTGACCATTAAGAGCTACTTAGGTAAGAAGAATGATTTTAAATTCTATTCTGGATTTTACTGGAAGCCAATGCAGAGAATCTTAGACAGGAGAAATGTGGGCTATGTTCGAAATGGAAGGCAGTTGCCTCGATATCGTAATAGACAGCTGCCTCAGACGGCATCACTTTCAAGTGAAGGCAGCTCTGTTTACATTAGTTTCGAACAGCCTTCTAGGGCAGCACTTACGTCAGCACGCCGTTTAGCCTTAGCATCAGCTAACTAGCTATTGAAAAGCCAAACGGCTAACAGACGCCTCAGAAATCATACTGAACAAACTTGGTTGGTTACAGTCACAGACTGATATTATAGTTCAGAGTTTAGTTCTCCCTAAATTTTCAAAAATCGAAGCAAAAAAACTACTAAAAACTTTTAAAAATATATTTATTTATGTACAAATTCGGCTTGTCTGCCATCATTCAAAAGCTCTGGCGGCCGCAGCCGTGCTGCTTTATGGGTAATAGTCAGCATCAAGTCACCATCGATGCTGCCTTCAAAACTGGCCGTTACTGGGGCAGCTTGCAAGCATCTCAGTAGACAGGAAGAGATCGTTCGAGCCGTTTCAAACAGCACTCGATGCCTCGCTGTCTCACCTTCTGAGACAGCAGTTTAGCCCGTTAAGAACACTTTTTTCCTGGTTCCTGTCAGAACACGTGCTGCAGTATTCTGGATCAGCTGAAGAGTCTTAACGGACTTTTTCGAGCAGCCTGATAATAAGGAATTGCAGTAATCCAGCCTAGAAGTAACAAATGCATGGACTAATTTTTCTGCATCATTTTTAGACAGGATGTTCCTGATTTTTGCAATATTATGTAGGTGAAAAAAGGCGGTCCTTGAAATTTGCTTGGGCCCTAGAACAATAACTTCAGTTTTATCTGAGTTGAACATTAGAAAATTACAGGTCATCCGTGTTTTAATATCCTGAAGGCACATTTGAAGTTTACTAATGACGAGTTTCATCTGGCTTGATCGATAGATACAACTGGGTATCATCTGCATAACAATGAAACTGTATGGAATGTTTCCTGATAATATTGCCTAAAGGAAGGCATGATAACTTGGCGTGCATGGATGTACAAACTGAAATCGATCTGATAAATAAGACTTAAACCAGCTTAGAGCGGTTCTTTAATGCCAATGAAATGTTCCAGTCTTTGTAACAGGATATGATGGTCAATGGTATCAAATGCAGCACTAAGATCTAATAAAACCAGTACAGAGACAAGTCCTTTGTCTGATGCAATTAGGAGGTCGTTAGTAATTTTTACCAGTGCTGTCTCTGTGCTATGATGAACTCTAAATCCTGACTGAAAATCCTCAAATAAACTATTGCTATGCAGAAAGTCACACAGCTGTTTGGCGACTGCTTTCTCAAGGATCTTAGAAAGAAATGGAATGTTAGATATAGGTCTACAGTTTGCTAAAACATCTGGATCAAGGTTGGACTTTTTGCTGTGTTCGAAACCTAACCAAGTAGTTGTGCTGCCTAAACCTAACCAAACTGAGTCTCGCTGGTGACGACATTACTGTTCAAAGTGATGTGTGGTATTTGGACACATCTGCTCTCCACAGAAGTTAATGGGAGGGATTGGCGTATCACCTGCACGCAAAATTGGACTTTGGCATGCACTGTATGCGGTTTGAAAGTGTCAAGTCATGTTCACAGTACGCAGATTGATGAGACTGGGTTGTAGGATGATATCGGAATACAAAACTATCTCAGAATCACCCACAGCATAGTAAGTGTATAAAACAGTCTGTGAACAACTGTCATAGGACTGAAAACCAAGGGTTAATCCTGAAGGTACCACCCCAACCTCAAATCCCGTTTCGTAGTACAGACCCCAGGTGAACTAGATGAACCAGCTGACCTGAGCTTCCCCGCACTGACCTGCCATGTGTCTAAATTAAGGGATTTACACTGTAGGTGGAGGGGAGCAGCATGAGAAAGTGATTTATGACCCAGTACTGACACATTTTGTCTTGACACGAAGTCTCCCATCCAGGAGGGTTATCAAATACTATAGCAGAAGCTCCAATTAAATAAACAAAAAAACGATAATATTTCAACAAGATATGTGGGGTCAACAAAAAGTAGTTATCCCATTCCAAAAATGTGATTTCTGTCTTTTTTATGTAAGACTAAAGTCTAAAACACACCTGGGTGCTCAGAAGTTAGGTGAATGATTCAAAGTTGACAAGTGATTGTAAGCTATGCTAGTTATATAACTTTTATTTCAGTTTAGATTTTGGATATCTGTTTGTTGATATTTTATATTTGCACTCTTTCCTGCTTTGTACTGCAAGTGCTGCACAACAGATTCCCCCAGGATGAATGAAGTTCTATCTTTACTTACAAAGCCACAGCTAGACTGATATGTTAAAGGTTGTTGTGGGTCAGTTTGATTTTCTTTTTATCAGAAACAGAACCAGATTATATTTTGGATAGATAGATAGGTAGGTAGATAGATAGATAGATAGATAGATTTTGCAAGGAAGCAAAAATAAGCTGTTTGTTGTGACCGGGCATTGAATTGAAAAAATACCACTCAGAAACACCAGCTGACTGGCTAAAAAATCTTCTTTATATCACCAGTGCTTTTTGGCAAAGGTCTTACAGACTGTGTTAAAACACAGCATATATTCTACAAAAAGGCTGAATCTCAGTTTTAAACTAGTAATATTAATCCAAAAAAGATCAAAACATCAAATCAAACCAGAGGTTTGGCATTGAGCATCAAGGCCTGTGTTCTGAGAGTGGCCTTGTGATCCTTCTTACATAACAGGGACCCTCCCTCACCGCTCCAAACCACAAACACACAGAAAATGGTCCTTGAGTCAGGGCCAGCGTTGGAAAGCAGAGTGGCTGAGAAAGCGGCTGGTTGCCCCCAGTGATTACAGTGGAGAAAAGACCCCTCCCACCGTCCCGCTCTACTTAGATAACAGGCCCGTTGTTAGTCTAAGGACCCAAACAAAGACGACCCTGTGCCTCTCCTCTTGCTCACCCCACTCCTTTCTCTGTATCCGAGCTTTGATTTCCTCCGTGGTCGGCCAACAGGTATCTCTAACCCAAAGATACCCCTCCCTTTGTCTCTCCTTCCATCTATCCCTCCATCCTCAGCCTCTTTCCTCCCTGTACTGCTTACATAATCCTGAGGACACCAAATTGGCTGATTAGGGAAACTTCATATGGTGGGAGTAGTCTAATGGGGTCAAAGGGAATTTGGTTGGTTCAGATCCCTGTGGGTAAAAAGCCATGACTTTGTTTAACTGCCAGGGAAAATATGTTATTAGATCCTGAGACTAACTTTTGTGCTCCGGTTTAAAACAGGAGGACTGTTTGTTTTCAGGTAGCAAAAGCACCAATGAATCCAATGAACTATACTGACAGATAAATAAACTATTTGTCTTAAAGCTGCTGTAGGGAGATCCAGTCATACATTTTCTGACTGACAAATTTGTTCGTGTTTTTGAGGGAATATAAATAGAGATTAATATAAACCAAGTCAGTGAAATGAGCTTATGTATCTGTTTTTCTCTCCATTAGGATGGCATTATCTCTGTCAAGGACATCGACCTGGTGATGTCAGAGGGGCTAGGAATGCGTTACGCCTTCATAGGTCCCATGGAAACAATGCACCTCAATGCACCTAAAGGTAATCTTCCCTCTTTGGACTCTTTTCTCACATAAACAGAAGGTCACCGCCCAATATACCTTTTGAAGCTTTTGTTTTTGAGCAGGTTTTACTTTATTTTGAGTGGCTGAAAGGTGGCCAGGGGTAAATACAAATTAAATTCCAAAGGGGTAATTATAAATCAAGCTGAGTATTCGGGCTTTCTAATTTCACATTTAGGTACAATAAAAATCCCACACTCTAGTATTTCAAGACATACTAAGCAGTAGAGAATACCATTGTTCAGGTCAGTGATGATCCCATCAAATTCTTGTGTAAGTGTAGGTTTTCTTTACATGAATGTAAAATTTTTGTTCAGTATAATTTTACTGAAATGTAATTTTTGGTAAGAAAGACAATCAATTTTGCACACAGTCTTTCTCATATGCATGTAATACAAAAAGAACGAGAGGATAAATACTTAAAATGAGTTTTTATTCCAGCAGTATTGTTGAAAATAAGTACTTTAATAAGTAAACATGCCAAAATCAAGTTATTAGCATGAAACATATTCTGACGATGAGCTTTCATTAAGGCCCTTAGTTACATAAAAATGTAGTGGTCAACAGCGACAGCATATCTCAGCACAATATACATGTACTGTACGATACTGTGGCGTCCCTGTGTGTGTCAGACAGAGAGGGAGGGTGAAACCTCAGGGAGATGGAGAATGTCAAAGGGGAGTGTGAAACCCAGAGAATAACCCTGACTGTGTACACACACAGAAAAAGGACGCTTCTTCAGAACAAAGCAGTCTTTTAATGGATAGCGATGAATGCTCTCTCTCACACCAGTAATCCTAAACTCACAGTGCCAGGTGCCAACTCTTACCTGTAGTTACAGTGCGGAAGCTTTCAACTCACTTTTCTGCTCAGGAAACAGTTGTAAGATCATGTTCTCAAAAGATTGCTAAGACCTACTCCTGTTGTTACCTCCCATCCTTAAATCATTCCAATCAGATACTGAGGCACTCAGGCTCTCTGTCTCTGTCTCCCTTTCTACTCTGCCTGAATGGCTTTGCTTTTGTAAACCATGTACCTGTACAATAGAGCATTATCTTTTTAAAAGAATAATCCACTGGCAACCTTTCGCCTGTAGTCTTGAAAGAGGCTCTTCATGTCTCTTTTTATGTAATCAGATTGGATTCACACCAGCTACCACAGATTCAAATGGTTTCACGGCAAAAAGGCATCCAAATGTCCATAGAAACTTCTAAAGATGCTCATTGCCGTATGATCCACTTCTCCACTAATATCAACTATATTCTCAGTATACTCCAAACACTTGTCATCTGCTCAGTTAGCTGTATTTGTTTGTCATTTTCAACCAACAAGCAAAAACAGTTGCATAAGACAAAAGTTTAGCTAACAACACTAGCGATGAGTGTTAAGAAAATGTGAATGAATGTAAAATTTTTGTTCAGTATAATTTTACTGAAATGTAATTTTTGGTAAGAAAGACAATCAATTTTGCACACAGTCTTTCTCATATGCATGTAATACAAAAAGAACGAGAGGATAAATACTTAAAATGAGTTTTTATTCCAGCAGTATTGTTGAAAATAAGTACTTTAATAAGTAAACATGCCAAAATCAAGTTATTAGCATGAAACATTCTGACGATGAGCTTTCATTAAGGCCCTTAGTTACATAAAAAATGTAGTGGTCAACAGCGACAGCAATATCTCAGCACAATATACATGTAGTGTGGAAAGCAGAGAAGTGGCCTATGAACAGAGGTTTCTATGGACAGTTTTCTGATACTTTCTTTGCAGTCAAACTGACATTTGGAAACCATTGTAACCACTGTAACTCCATGCTTATTGCAGCTGCTGTTCTTGACAAAGAAGCAAGCTATAAACTTTTCATAGCCACATTTCAAGGGTATAAAGTTTTGTAGCTAAAAACAAGGGTGGACCTTTTTAAACGCTAAACTGTTTATCCACAAAACCATAAGACAAAGCGAAGTAAGTGAGATGCTTATGAGGTTCCTGACTGGTAATGCTGCATTCATTCATTCAATCATTGCCACGTTTATACTGAGACATACTTTATATTAAAACAAACAAATACCAGATTAATTACCATAAACTAACTAAGACCATCACCACTTTACATTTTGATTCTCCAGGGTTGAATTCACTAAAAAAAAACATTTAATTGCTTCACAATACAAAACAAGAAAAAAAAAATCAGTTTGTACCTGTCAAAGTTGAAATCTATAATCTGCTCATTTTCAATCTCTGCAGAAGTCTTCAGTAACATAAATTATTTATTATAGGAAGCTCTTGGGAAGTCAAACTTGTACCAGAGCCATATGAGATATTACTGGGCTTAATTCTTGGTTTTGATGCATGGCAAACAAACTTCTTTTTTTTTTTTTAAGTCAAACAATGACAGCAAAGGAGGTTTTGCATGACAAGAAAAAAGAGCTTGAAATAACACTCATATCTTTGCTCCCACACAAAGTCTGTGTTTGGTTAAAGGTAGATGGTACTTATCACACTGCTCTGCCATATATAGTGTGTCCAACTAAGTGTGTCAACATTTAAAGTTCTTAAAAAACTTTATAAATTTTAGGTTTTCTAGCTACATCATCACATATTTGGTCTAAAACTTGGTATGAATAACTTAAGTGAAAGAAAGGACAGAAAGCTTTTGCAATATATTCAGTATCTTCTTTATTTGATTGAATAATGTCGCTTTTAGATCTTTGTTGTGACAGAAGAATTTCTTCATTAAATAGCTTGTTTGAAGTGTCTTTCTTTTTTTCAGATAACTCCACACTGGATTTGTATTGCTTCAAAGCTCTAGTCCTCACCTGCAATGTTTCTCATCGCAGGAATGTCAACAAACCTTTTTATGAGCTGTTTTGTCCAGTCACTGGTTGTTATGGGTACCTGTGTTGCTGCATAGATCATTAACGATGTATTGTCATTTTTCTAAATCCTAATTAAGGGACACAACTACGTGTTTGATCCACAAACATTTGGCTGCATGCGGAAGGATGTTTATATAAAGTACGCATTCATCAGCCAAAGTAGCTGTTGCCTACATGACAAATAAAGAAAGATTAATCAGTGTGAGTAATGAGAAAATAACTCCAAGGAATCACACTGAAGTTTGACTAAGAAATAAAAGGACCAGAGAGTTTTTTATAAGGTATTCAACATGCAGTCTCAGCAAGGAGGAGTTCTCATTTCAGAGTGGATGGCGTCTTTTTATGACATCCAGAACTGTAATATTTACTTATCTCTGTGGTTCTCTGTGGAGTCGGCAAGTTCAAAAGACTGAGGCTGGTCTAGAAAATAATTTATTACAATGAATATTATTTACAGAAAATAGCATTACTTGTATGACAAGCAAGTTGCTGACGTTTATTGTACCAAACCAGTGAAACTTGTGCAATGAGTGCAGGCTAGTGCTGTATCTTGCCATCTTTTTCCAGTGTCCTGTACTGTTTATCATTTACTGTCCAAGAAGACCTTGGAAATGTGCTTTGGATACATTTAAATATCACAGTTGTTAGAATCATTGCTTATGTAGATGTATTTTCATTTCAATGTAAGCTGCATTTATAAACTAGTTGTGTGAGAACAGAAGGGTGTTACGGGTAGCCATAGGTTAGGCAGGCTTGCAGAGGAGCTAACGTGCACACCTCCCAAAACGCATTATATGTCCCTGCATGTCAATTGTTTAACCAGTGTCTGTCAGTAGAAAAAACTGGCCGTTCACTTAAATGTAGCCCAGAGAAGCTTTGAAGACGTTTTGTGCCGAGAACCATGGCAATGTTTTCCTGGAGTGGAGCAACAACTTGCTCTGAGAGGGTCTGGGGCTATGAGGCATATGCATGTGCTAACCAACTGCCTCCCACAGGTTTGGAAGACTATATGAAACGGTATGGAGAGGGCATAAGGAGGGTCCTGACCTCTTTTGGGCCTGTTCCAGACTTCTTCGGTGAAGGAGCCAAGAGCATCGTCAGTGTAAGTATGATGGAGCAACGCTGAGCCATAAAAGTTGACATTGTGACTTCATGTACTGTAAAATTACAAAACAGTTTGTTTATCCACATCAGATGCATTTAATCAAAACAGATATTATGATTTCTTTCTGGTTCAATCAAGACAAGACAATGTTTGTTGAGGGTATGTGTCTTTAGTTCTGCATGACTGAAAGTGAAGAGTTCCTTCTCACCCCGGCGCTAGCTCTCTCCTACTCAGGCATTACTTAATCACATGCTGTCACAGGCTGTTAAAATGTCAGCCAAAGTCACAGTGTGTGGAAACCCCAAGCAAGTGCATTAAATTGTTTAAGGTCAACCAGTTTAGAAAGAAACAGCAGTCGATCTTGTTTCCTGGTGCGTTTCGCTTCGCTTAGAAACCTGCTAAGCTAGTACACAAGTTTGTAGTTGTTAAGAGAGTAATTTTGTCACTGAGAACATTCACTTTGAATTTAATTGCCTTTGCAAGTTGCAGTTGTATTTATGCCAAGTTATACAGATTCACACTCAGGAGTCACACTCCATGTAGTGATACATGTTAGAAAAGAAATCCCACCACATTATTGTAGCCTTTTTCGGTTTTAAAGGAATACTGAAATCCAATGTTTTGAAAATCTAACACTCAGCCCTTTTTAGGTTTGAAAGGTGGCACTCAAACAGTTGTTGCTTCCTCCTTCAAAGAGGACAGCAGCTTGGATTCACAACAGTTGCACCAGATTCCAACAGCAACCCAGAGTCACAGGATAACAAGTATAAAATCACCAAGTACACTTCTCAAACCCCTTCTGTAGCATAATAACCCTGACCCTGTCCATCGACATGCAGTCTTGTTTTTAGCTCTAGCCTCAACTCAAGAACTGTAAGAACTGCTAAGCTCAAGAAGAGTCAGGTCAGATAACAATAATTAAAATAACGCTTTTGGGCAATTCTTTCTTTTTTTTTACAGCTGCTGCAAATTAAAATAAATGTCATGTCACATGGTCATGCCATATTCCAGTTTCACTTATTTCTTAAACATTATTTTACATTTTGTCAATTTGTCGCTCCTTTGCTCCCAGTTTGGAATCTTCATTACTCTATGCGCTGCAGTCCTCATCACAGCCTACTCTACTCTGGGCTGCAGACAGACATGTTATCTTTGTAATGCATTGGTGTTGCCAGCCGTACTGTGAAGGCATCCCAACCAACCATTAGGAGTCCCTAGTGCAAAGACAAGAATGTGAACCCCTCACCAGCTTTTCTACCCACAAGCACGGCCAACTGTGTTTGCTAAACACATGACCAATCCAGAGAGACTGCGGGAATCTAACCTTCGGTCTCTGCACACCTGTGTTAGAGCTAGCTCATACTAAACACATGTTATCCAGTATGTAAATCAGATGTGTTTACAGCAGCGAAGTGGTGATTTTCTAGTTATCTGACTAAACACAAAATGTGTAGAAAGAATCAGTTTCAAGTTAAAAATAAAGAGAAATAAACTGTATTTATTTGATTTTGAAATTACTATTGCATATTTTTAGGAATGCAAACATCCCTTGTTTTACGATTCCTAACATGGCCGTCAGAGGATGGTCACGTCACCTGAAAGCTTTCTGTTCTTTGCTCTTCTTTTTCTCACATATGTTTCCTTCACTGCTGTCCACAGGAGATGTGTGAGCTGATTCCCAGCGACGAGCAGCATCTGTCGGCCAGGATAGAGAGGAGGGACCAGCTCCTCATGGGTCTGGCAAAGCTGAAGAAGGAGCATTAAGATCAGCATGCAAGGCCCAGAGTCAGGAAAACTTCTGATTATCACTGCTGACTGAGGAAAAGTAATCTTTAAACATTAGATTAGAGGGTTTTTTTGTTAAGTACACTTCTTTTACTCATTTGATAACAATTTAAATAAAATGAATAATAATGTAATAATAATAATATTTTAAATAATAATAATGATGTGCTGGGAGTGATAATAAAATATCTTATTTGTGCCTTATAAAATAACTGTGGCTTGCTAACCAGCAGGGATTCAATTTAAAACAGTTTTATCTTTCTGTGTGCATTTTGATCTCAACACTGATCTTGTAGCAATTAAGGGACTTAATTAACAGCAACCATCTGAGTCGGTGCTCCATGGCATGTAACGATCTGCTGTGTAAATGAATTCTGTGAAAAAAATTTGAAATGATGTTTTGATTAATAAAAAACAATGCAATTATACATTTATATCTTTTTATATTTTCTTAATACAACATGTTTGGTCCTAATCATGAAGGAAAGTAAAACTAATGAAATCAGACATTGGATATGTGTGGATGAGTACAGGAGCGGTCTCTGTTCCCTCTAGCAAAACTAATCGATGATGAGTGTAACATTGAATGGTTACAGATAAGGTCCTGCATCCTTGAAAACAATGAATAGAAACATGTCACAAGTGCTACTTAGGACTGCTGTGACATTTCTGCTCTGCTCATGTTGCAGATTTCATTTTGATATCAGGCCCAGAGTGACCATCACATGATCACACTGTGTGGCCTATACTGCTATGAAATATGATAAGCTGCACAAGTTTATATAAATTAGAGCTTCAATGCAATGTGTATGTATGTGTACAGTATGTGCAAATACTGGATATGCAGTATACTGTATATGTGAGGGAGAGCCTGAAGCAGTTGTCAGAGGTACCAAAATTGTGAACCTTGTAAACAAATCTCTGTGGTTCAGTATTGTGGCCACAATTTATATATTTCTACGTGTTTTTAAAGCATTATGCTATATGTTATTCATAATATCAGATGGTTGAAAATGGGCATGTCAGTGCAGTACATTGTTGTGTAATGCAGACAATTCAATTAACTGCATGCATCAGAATCAACACATTTTTCAACTTTTCCCCAAAGGCAGAAATGATCAGCTTCGTTGAAGTCGCATGAGACTTAATTTGAGACTTTAAGTTGAAATCAAGAGTTAAGAGAAGGGAACGAATATTATCAAGCTACCAGCTGTATAGCTAATTTGCATTTATTAGAATTAGTTATTCTAATAAATGCAAATTAGCTGGTTTAACATATCTGTCTAGTAACCTGACGTTCAAATTATGTTCAGTGATGAGATTTTGAGAATTCAAGTGCCCTTTACCTACAATAAAAACACTGTGGTTCATTTGAGGTGGAGGTTTAACTCAGCCATTAAGATGCTTTCTATTTCGAAGGAATGCTTACGCAACTTAAACTTCTACTTGGTGAGTATGAAACACTAGTCACCACGCACAAATGAACAAAAGAGAAAGCAATAAATCTCTTCCATGGGTGCCTGGCTGGCCCCACCCAGAGCCTGGCCCCTCCCTCCCTGTCTACAGGAGGAAAGATGAAAAATCTCTGGACTCAGGTGCGTCTGTCTCACACAGATTTAAGACGGGAAGGGTCAAACTTCGTCTCCAACGAGCAAAGCTAAAGTTGGAGCGAGGGGAACAATTTTCTTCAGATCACAAAAGAATAAAGGATTAATTGAATTTCCCGTCGTTGAAAATTATTGACATTTTTGGCAGGTGAGTTCTTGGTGTTATAGTGCAGGTGTAGCCGGTTTAGACTTGTGATGTCAGCGCATTTTTTTATTTCTAAGAAAAGCCTAGCTAGTTATGCAGATGACAACCACAAAAGGCTACAACTACAACTAATTTTGTTAACAGTAATTATTACTATTATTAAATCGGCTTTTTAAATACGTGTGTAATCCCACTTTAAGATGATTTAGATCGGAAAAACAGGCGTATCTTGACATTAAAATACTTTTATTTGGGAAAACAAAAAGAAAGATTGTGTAGATTGTACATTTATTGAAGGCAAAATCCCATTAATTGAATGGCATCTAAAAATCCAAATTGCCTTTTAATACAGCAAAGTCAGCATCTTTAAAGGTATTAGGCCTACTGATATGAACGAAAGTATTTGTTTTTAAGGACATCAATAGCAAATATGAAAGGAATGATTATTAAGTGTCTCAAGATAAAGATTATTTTTTAAAAATTGGTTTATTGTAAACCAATGACCTGGCCCTCTTCTTTTGACATTTAATTCCAATATGCAGTATCAACTTCATTTCTTCTATTCAACTTCATTTACTTTTATTAAGTACATAAAATCGTGCTAATCATGCTAATAATGAACTATTAATACTTAATAAGTACTAATAAACTAATACTATTACCAATGGTAATTAAGAGTAAAATACACTATATGGACAAAAGTACTGGGACACCTACGCATTACTTTTGTAACATCCCATTCTAAACCCACAGGCATTAAAACGGAGTTGGACCCTCCTTTGAAGCTATTACAGCTTGTGCTCTTCTGGGAAGGCTTTCTACAAGATTTTTGAGTTTGTCTGTGGGAATTGTTGCCCGTTCATCCAGAAGAGCATTTTTGAGGTCAGACAGAGATGTTGGACATGAGGGCCTGGCTATCTCCATTCTAGTTCATCCCTAAGGTGTAGGATAGGGTTGAAGTCAGGGCTCTGAGCGGCTCAAGTTCTTCCACACCGAACTGGGATAACCATTTCTTTATGGAGCTGGCTTTGTGCACGGGGTCATAGTCATATTGAAAGAGGAAAACGCCAAACTGTTAGAAGAACTGTTGTCTAAGTTGTATGTTGTAGCATCAAGATTTCGCTTAAGAAAGATCACACCATGAAAAAAGGGGTGTTCCAGTACTTTTGTCCATATACTGTTCTCTGTGTAGGGAACAGAGACAGCAGTGATTCTTCTTCAGACAATGGCATGCACAGGTGGTTGGGGTTGGCTGGGAGATCATTCCTGTAATTTCTGACTTGTGTGCCAAAGTGCTCTATAAAATAACAATAACTTTTCCATGTTGCCTGTGTGTTATAATCTGACTGCTCTAAATGGTATCAAAAACCCCTAATCTAAGACACTGGTGACAGCTTTATAAAATTTGTTGCCATGGCCCTTTATGACTCTGTGATGCCTAATCTATCTTAGACCTGGCCTTCTGTGTCCCATTTATTGTTAGTCCATTTTTTTACTCAATACTACACATTGTTCAAAATGTAAAAATGCCTTAAAAATGCCATACGAAAGCAATTGTAGGCCAACAGCAACTCTGTACTTTCAGACAGTTACAAGTTCTGTAAGAAAGGTAGATGCTGGTAAATGTCCTTCATCAATACACTGAATTTAGGTTTTCTTGGGTGTTAACCTTCTACTGAATTCCTGCCTTCTACAGGTTGTGAGCTTCCTGAGTCCTCTTGGCCACAATGAGTTGGGGGGCGCTCTATGCCCAGCTTGGAGGTGTCAACAAACACTCCACCAGTCTAGGAAAGATTTGGCTTTCTGTCCTTTTCATCTTCCGTATTACTATACTGGTTCTGGCTGCTGAGAGCGTCTGGGGGGATGAGCAGTCAGACTTCACATGCAATACGCAGCAGCCTGGCTGCAAAAATGTCTGCTATGACCACTTCTTTCCTGTGTCGCACATCCGCTTGTGGTGCCTGCAGCTGATCTTTGTCTCCACACCGGCCCTGCTGGTGGCCATGCACGTCGCCTACAGGAAACGTGGGGATAAGAGGACCATGCTCGCCTCCAATGGCACAGAGAGAATGACGGATACTGAACTGCAGACACTGAAGAAGAGGCGTCTGCCAATCACAGGCCCGCTGTGGTGGACCTACACCTGCAGTTTGTTCTTCAGGCTCATCTTTGAGGGTGGGTTCATGTACGCCCTGTACTTTGTCTATGACGGCTTCCAGATGCCCCGGTTAGTGAAGTGCGAGCAGTGGCCTTGCCCCAACAAGGTGGACTGCTTCATCTCCAGGCCAACAGAGAAGACCGTCTTCACGATCTTCATGGTGTCCTCATCGGCCATCTGCATGGTGCTGAACGTGGCCGAGCTGTGCTACCTCATCATCAAGGCGCTCCTGAGGTGCTCGACCGGGTCAAACAAGAGGAAACACCTTTACACCAACACAGACAGAGTGACACCGGATAATGCCATTCTGCAGAATGAAAAGAACGAGATGCTCCTGTCCTCCACTGATTCGACCAGCAACAAGACCATGTGTTGAAGGACAGCAATCAGTGTTGGAAAAATCCCTCCTAATGGTCATAGTTTGTGTCTGCAGTTTGGTGATTACTCTAGCAGTTGAGCATCCAACAGAATTGCCTCATGGGAAGGTAAAACAGCTTCTAAAGCCAATTTTGAAGTGGGAACTTAAAATCACCACAACATATATTAGGTTAATTAGACAGCAACATACCTTCATTTGTAGGGAACTCACTAGATAATTTGCATCTTGGCTCTGTATTCCTACATATGGCCTCTATTTTGCAACTAAAGACAGTCGAATGTTCTTCCCTGATGCAAAAACCCCCCCCTAAAATCATGGATCATACAATAATTTTAAAATCTGATCCAATTCCCACCAGTGAGTGTTACTTTGAGAGCCTGTTTGTGTTCTCAGAACAAAAAGCCGCCAGGTAGCAGAGAATTTGTTTTCTAACACAATAGTGTCTTTGCATATATTTATACACATCATCACAAGTGCCACCTTGCTTTTCGTACATGCTCGGTAGATGAATGTTTAAATTTATTGTTCACAGTTGTTTGAATGTGCTGTGCATTGCAAAAGTGACTGGCCAGAGAAGAATGAGTCTACACTGACACCTAGTGGTTCACAGCGGAACCCTTGACAAGCAAAAACACCATCCCTGAAGCCTGAATGGTTTTAGTGCTAAAGAAGTGGAAGTACAGCAAATGAAGTCATGAAAAGTGAGGTTGTGTTATGTTTTAGTCTTTAGTTTACTAGAGATGGCAGTGATTTTTAATGCTGTTGATTTTGAACACATGTTTTACAGTTATTAATAAAAGTAGATGGTTTTTCATGATTCTGCTGTATTCAAGTGACCGTAGGATGAAGTTGGGTTTAAAAATTCATAGTGTCATAACTCTCTACGTTTCATTACTGTTACATGGGATAAGATTACGTTGATAGAATTGTTATGACATGGTGAAATCTTACCTAGGGTTTGACAATCTTTGCTGTTTAATCAAATTAGAATGTCTTTTGCGTTTTACTTGAACTGAGAGTGTTTGAATTTGAAGTGTTTCTTTACATGAGCGCTAAATAATCTAAACGCACTCTGAGAACGTGTTGCCTATTTTCACACGAAGAAATATATTCATGTTCGGACTGTACAAGATGCTTTTAATCTTCATGTGCTAGAAACCTCCCTGACTGTTCATGTTGCATAATTATTTCCTCTGAACTGACATTGCTGAGTTGACATAAAAATCTATAAAAGAGGCAAAAACAAATGTCACAAAAATATTAATTCAGATATTCTTAAACAGATTTTGTATTCCAGTCAAGATGCTTGAAGTTTGTGAAGATGCCAAATCTGGCAGGCTTGTAGTGATTTATAGATTTGAATCATTCAATATCTGACTCAATGTTTTTGCCTTTTATAACATTTGCATTTGCCTTCTAATTATACTGTTACCTTCCAAGAAATTATTTCAAACAGCAGGATTATCAAGTTAGGCAGACAACTTCAAAAATTGCTCCTGAATGTTCTTTATTAATATTAACCGATTCCTAAACCCAATATTCAAGTGTTATTTTCATAGGTCCACAGATTCAAGAGAGTCTGTTTCACAGTCACCACCAGGCTAATGTTCTTAATCCTGCTTTTTGAAACACCGTTCAGAAGTTGTCCTGTTTAGCCCAGACGTGCTCCTGTGTTTTTTGGACTTGTGTTGGTGCTGCAGTGTGGTGGGTACTGACCCCGGCTGGCTGTATCAGCTTTCAGCATGTGCCTTATTTTAGCCACCTCACTAATCACTGCTTGCCCTCTTCATGTGAGGAACTATGGCTGATCTCAAAGTGAAAATGTCTTTGTCCTCCCTCCACCCAGGAATAGCTGAGTTGGATTAGTCACATCTGTGTTGTTAAAAAAAACTCACCTTATGTGAACAGAGAATAGTGATTTGGTGATTAGAAAAGATTGGAAAGGGGTGTGTGAGACAAGTTGGACAATTAATGAGATGTATCAATCCCAAAATTTATAAAAAGACAATCTGGATGAGTCGTATATTGACATTACATAACTGATGCAGCTGATGTAGAGTCACAGCATGAAGTGTAACAGTTGACATTTTTCAGTGGGCGAGAAAAGTTTTGACCAAAGAATGCCAAGTCATGCAGTGTCACAGACGAAAAGCACTCCGGAGGCCTCTGGGTGCAGATTTGGAGAAGAAAAATTGTGATTTTTCAAAACATTGTTATGTATGTGTGCTCTGCATTGACCTTTGGCCTCTTGCGTAATGCAACAGCCAAGTGTCATTTTGATGCTACGTGTGTGATAGTAACAATGTGTAATGGACACTGTTTTTAAGGGACGAGCCTGATCACTCCAGTCCCAAGATGTTGATATTTTTAGCAATTTTTATATTCAGAGTTCTTCCACAATGTAGTAGTCTGATTTTAACAACACACTAATGAACAGCTTTCTAACCAAGAAATGTAGAAATGAAATGTTTGTGACTGTGTTTTGCACCTAAGATGTTTTTTTATTACAAGTGCACTTTGATCCTTGAAGTCTTTTTGCTGTTTAAGACATTTTTTCATAAATAAAATATAACTGCGTGGTTCATTGTTATGTGTACAGTGTGTCTGTTAGTGTGTTTCACATTGGCTTATATAATACCATGCCTTACTGCACCCCCACCCCCCACCCTCCCCGTGCGCGTACACACACACACAATTTCTTCCTTTTAATTACCAGACATCAGGTTTTCAAGTAATGTTTTATGTCTAGGATCAGCCATGACTTTAGTGTATAGTGTATTTTTTTTTATCGTAGAATGGTTGTTGCTGGTGTTTGGAGGGTTTTGGGCAAACTTTTGGGAATGTTTTCAAGTGTTTTTCCGGGATACTTTTGGGGGAGCTTCACATCATGTTCAGGTTTTGGACAAATTCTGCTAAAGTTTTGGGAAAGGTTTTGGACACATTTTTGACAGGTTTTGGGGAGGTTGGCAGGGGCGTGGTGTCACTCCGGACAGGCTGATGACTCTGTGGATTCACTCATGCATGGTCACACAATGTGACAGTCCAGACATGGCTGGAAACGGGAGGCAGCTCCGTTTAACCGAGCCCCATCTCCGACTCCAAGCCGCCTCCAAAAACTAACAACAACAAAGGGAAACTTTTCTTTGCGCGAGTTAACGGGCCCGGGACAGCCAGACAGACTGACTGTCCACACGCCTGGAGAAATTTGTGCGTGAATGAGTTTGTGAGGCAGCATTTAAAAAAAAGAGTTTGTGGGGCTGTCAGAGAGGCGACAGGTTGCGGGTTCGGGATCAGGGAGACAGAGGGAGGGTCGCTGCGGCCGCGGGAGGTCTTCACGCTTTTCAACGCACTCAAATGATGGCACCAATGGCAGACGGATTTGCTTTTCGTATTTAAGTATGACATCTCCGGTCTAAAGGTATGACGGATAAACACTGCTGTGAATATTTCCCTGTACTTAAATGGGAGTAAATTATGACCAAGTAAATGAAGAACGGCATGTTACCAGGTAATTAAAAGTTTTACTTCAATTGTACTAAACAAGAGTGAGACAAAAGCCAGACAAAGCTTGTGGAGCCTAAAGGGAGTCTGGGGACTCTGGCACACTCTGTATTGTGAGTCTGCCGGGTATGGCTTTGTATTTGAACCTGACTCTGTCTGTTGCGCTCATCGCCATTATAACATAAATGCCACAAATACCTGTGAAGCTGAGAAAAATGTATTCAAGGTTTGCCACTAATAATGAAGTCATCAGAGAGTCAAATTGTAAACGTGAAACACTTTCAGACTCTCTGGGTTTAACTGCTGCAGGCCCCAACACATGGGGCTACATCCCATTATTTATATTAAGTAGCCTATATAAAATTCAAACTGTGATGAGAAAAGTGTGTTATTGCTATTATCTGGATAACTGTTTACTTTTTGATCAAAACATGCACTGAACTTTTCTCCATGTTCTTCTGTTTAGCATTTGATTCACTGAGTTTTGATCAGCTAACCCCATGATTCAAAGCTACAACGAAAGGAAATTAAATATTGTTTGACTAATGTGTTTCTCTTCCAGGTGTCATACATATTGTGAACCCTAGTCGATGGATTTATTACCTTTAATACAAGAATATTTTAGTAAGTGTCTCCTCTGCTCTGTGATTTGTTGTATGTGGTGTTTGTTCCTTTCATTTAATATTGTCTAAAAGATGTTAATAATAACAATAACAGGTTCTACCTTGCTCAAAACACATTTATCGCCTGTCTATATCACATAAGAGGGCAAAAGAGGCAATATATTATTATCTATAAATAAGCATTTGTTTTACTACAACTTTAAAATGTAGTTCAGATAGCTGATCTAAACATATTATTAAATCTGTGACATCACATAACAGATGGAGTGCAACAAAGATTAGTCATTCAACAGAAAATGCATTTAAACACTTTGTAATTGGTGCATCAAGTTTTATCAAGCAAAACTGCCTAACATCTCCATGTTTCAGCTTTTCAAATGTAAGGATATGTTCATTTGCTCAGCTTTATATAATAGCTTTCAAATATGTTTGGGGCTTAAACCATGCTATTTGAAGACATTGTCTTGGGCCCTGAGAAATTGTAAGGAAAGAATGAAGATTAATTGATGATGAAAACAACATATTGTGTTTTTTCAAATTGAAATCTCTACTTTCAGCATTTTGAAACTTAAAAATGTAACTTTTACCAGAATTGAGAATTTGTCCCATAGTTATTATATCATCATCTTTAGTATTTACAGTAAACTTTTTCAGTTTGATCTTTGTTACTTTGGTATTACAGTTGACAGAGAGAGAGGGTAAGGGGGGGTGGGTGGGGGGATTGGCGTGTGTGTGAATGTCAGTATTCATTTCTGTGTGTGTGTGTGTGTGTGTGTGTGTGTGTGTGTGTGTGCGCGCACGCGTGCATGTGTGCGTGTATGTGTGTGTGTGTGTATGTGTGCATGTGCCACGCCAGAGCCCCATCTCTGCTAAATGCTGTTTTCGAACATTATAATGTTGATCTCAGCACATGCCTGCTGGGCAGTGGAGCGAGCAGGTGAGAGAGAGAGACAGGCCTGACATAGAGAGAGAGACATAGAGAGAGAGACAGAGAGAGAGAGAGAGAGAAAGGGAGAGTGAACCAGGGTTCAGTCAAACAGGTGGCCTATACAGTATGCAAGCTGCTAAAAAGCGTCTGTGTTTGAACCGAATGCTGTGTTTCGATTTGTTATCGATATCTGATGCCTACTTGGCAGTTTTCTATAAAGACATTGACCTCTGCTAAGCATTTTATGAAAAAAAGAAATATGTCGGGGTCTAGTCGACGCCTCCACTCTCGTCCATGTCCTTGTGTCTTCTTGTGTGTTCGTATGGTTAGAGTGTTTAACCTCGGGGTAAGGCCTTACATGATACTCTGCAATGACAAATGTTCAGACTCAGATTTCATTTCAGCATTTCTTTAACTTTCTCTAACACTGTTTCTCTTCTTTATGTGTTGCCATTCCTCCCTTCTTTGTCCACTCCAGCCTGTACTTTCTCCATAGGCTAGAAATCTTGAAGCATGGGCGACTGGAGCTTTCTGGGGCGGCTGTTGGAGAACGCTCAGGAGCACTCAACGGTCATCGGCAAAGTCTGGCTGACTGTCCTCTTCATCTTCAGGATCCTGGTGCTGGGGGCTGCGGCTGAAGAGGTCTGGGGCGATGAGCAGTCTGACTTCACCTGTAACACCCAACAGCCTGGTTGCGAGAACGTCTGCTATGATGAGGCGTTCCCCATCTCACATATCCGCTTCTGGGTGCTGCAGATCATCTTCGTGTCCACACCGACTCTTATCTACCTGGGCCACGTGCTACACATCGTCCGCATGGAGGAGAAGCGGAAAGAGAAGGAAGAGGAGATGCGCAAAGCAAACAGGTTCCAAGAGGAGAAAGAACTCCTTTATAGAAATGGTGGCGATGCTAGAGGAGGAGGAGGCGGCAAGAAGCAGAAGCCACCAATCAGGGACGAGCATGGCAAAATTCGTATCAGAGGTGCATTGCTGCGTACCTATGTGTTCAACATTATTTTCAAGACCCTGTTTGAAGTGGGATTCATTTTGGGCCAGTATTTACTCTATGGCTTCCAGCTGAGGCCCCTGTACAAGTGTGCACGTTGGCCCTGCCCCAACACCGTTGACTGCTTCATATCGAGGCCCACTGAAAAGACTATTTTTATTATATTTATGCTTGTGGTGGCTTGCGTGTCTCTTTTGCTGAATTTGTTAGAGATCTATCACCTTGGATGGAAGAAAGTTAAACAGGGCATGACAAATGAGTTTGCCCCCGAACATGAGTCGCTGCGCCGCGTCGACATTGCAGAGCCTGAGTGTTTGGCCTCGGCCTCCAGAACTGCCCCTTCCAGCCTCAGTTACCCTCCTAACTACACAGATGTGACGGCAGGCAGCGGGGCGTTCCTGCCGCCCATGGGGCCGGCAGCCGTGCCCTCAGCAGCAGAGTTCAAAATGGACGACCTCCAGCAGGAGGAGTCCCTCCGCCAGCCCTCCCCCTCTTCCCACTACTACATCAGCAACAACAACAATCACAGGCTGGCCACGCAGCAGAACTGGGCCAACCTGGCCACCGAGCAGCAGACTCGGGAGATGAAGGCCACCTCCCCCTCCCCATCCTCCTCTTCCTCCACCAGCACCGAGAATGGGCAGCAGCAGCAGCAGCAGCCCATCAATGCTGCACTGCCCCTTCCAACCAGCAACACCACCAGTAACACCAACATCACCAACACAACTGCCACTGCGGCCTCCAGCAGCAGCAGCCCTGGCACCGCCTCTAACGCAGGCAGCTGGAGTGGGGGCAAGAGCGAGCAGGAGGAAGGCCACGTCACCACCACCACAGTGGAGATGCACAAGCCTCCAGTAACGGTCAGCACAGACCCTCGGCGGCTCAGTCGGGCCAGCAAGAGCAGCAGCATCAGGGCCAGGCCAAGCGACCTGGCTGTCTAAATCTCTTAAGCCCTTTCATGTCCCTTAACCCTCCCTGACCAACACCCCGCTTCCTCCAACCCCAATCCCCAAACACAGTGATTCTCAGACAAAAAAATATCACATGCATAAAGCAAAAAAAAACAAAAAAGAAAGAAAAAAAAAAGAATTCAAGGCGACAAGAGACAGGAAAACAGAACGGCAGAAAATGTTTAGGCAAATGTGAAATGACTTGATCAGCAGCCGCCATTGATTTAGTGCAATCGGTGAGTTGCAGAGTAGTTAAGGCAAGTTTTGTTTGGATGGGCATAATTGATGCACACAAAATGTGATCAGGCAGTGTAATGAAGTCAGAAGGCTCCGCTCACAGCGGTAGATGGAGCGAAGGACATTGTGATGTCATAATTTTTCATCAAAATGAGCACATCTCACGTGTCTCATTAACGAGTTTGGCTTGGGGGAGAGATTTTATGGTGTTTCTCTATTTATCTTCTTTTTGTCGAGCCTAAAGGACTAACTATTCCAAATGAAAATCAACATGGTCAGATAACTGGATATATTTTATTTTATCTGGTGAGAGCGCAGGAGGCTGGCATTGTCGTACAGATCAGTGATTTGATGTGTAGCCAGACAATTCACTGATATCTTGATCATCATTTTTACCTGGTTTCACAGTGAAATTGGCAGCGCAAACATGCACTGCGTGTTGCACTACATGTCAATAGCCTGTTCCAGCACTGTTCCTTGGACCTGGAAGGTCTTTCGCAGCAGCACTTCCTGAATTTTACCAAACAAACACCTGTTGTGTTAAACATCATTCATCCACAAAGACATTACATGTATTGTGTGCCTGTAGTTGTGCATGCCAGTATGTGGAGCCCTACAACTCACCGATTCATTGACAAATTCACATAGTAAAGTTGGCTAGCTTGGTTTTTCCCATGATCCACTGCATCACCTCCAACAGAGATGGAATGGATAGAAATGGACTGATGTGATATGCCCAGAGTCCTCAGAAAAACTGCTGGTAAAAGTCATCCCCTTGATTCCCAGGATGTACGTGGGTCTCTACGAACACTGCATTGTCAAAAACATAGAGATCAAAACGTTCCCACCATGCTGTTAGTTTACAAAAGAGGAAAATAGGAGCAGAGTCCCTTACGCCTGCCTCTGTCAGCGTCGCCTTCAGTCAGCATGTCTGAAAAGAAAAAAAGTTCTCCACTAACTGCACAAATGAGAAGACATTGCTTTCAAACAATCTTGGAAATATTGTGCATATACATTGCAGACACCATCTTATATAAAGAATAACAAATTCTCCTTGTTCATTCAGAAAAACAACCCCCCAAAGCTCCTAGGTTAGACTTGAAACTGCTTTTTTTTGTGTTCACCCTCAAACCTCATTTTAATCAACACACCTAAAGATTGAGAGCAACTTTGCAAATGATTTTCACCATCACACATTTCATGTGCTTCTTCATTGGTTTTATTCTGAAAAGTGCTATTTTTTTAAAACTGAATTGAATTTTACTTATAAATTGCATACTTGTAGTAGTCAGTTTGTGATTGCGAAACAGTTACAATTAAAAAAGACTAAATGACTGGCGTTGCGAGTATCAAAACGCCATGGTGCAGTCGACCTTGACGGCTTCCATTTTGTTGTGTTCATCTTGATTCTTAGAGAACTTTAGAAACCCAAACTTTTAACTGAATTCATCAGCAGCTGCAGTCCTCTGTCTCTGTCGTGTTACTGTGCTGTTTGTTTGATTTTTGTTTTTCAACAACCTTAATCCACTGTATTATCCTGTGAGTTCACCTCTGGGGCAGAGTTGCAAATACACACTGTTTACACACTGTTTTCACTGTGTGAAAACTCAGTAATCTGCATTGGACATATTGCACTCACAGGGCAACCAACACGATTAACTACTAATATGTTTGTGCACAGTATTTTATAAGAACAGTACTTTTCCAGCAGTTAATGTGCAGGTTAATACACTGGAGTAAGAGCAATGTAAAGTGGTACCAGCTGTTTTTTTTTATTTTATTTTGGGGGGGTGGGTTGGGCGTTACAAAATGATGGTACTGTATGATGTAAGAGTATCTGTACCCATACAGGTAGAACGTTTCATACTGTATCTTACTTCAGTTGCTTAAATTACATTTAGTGCAAACAGAAACACAAAGAGAAGAATATTCACTACAACGTATAGGTAAAAGCTGCCTTTCCCAATCGATGTTTGTTGTTCAAAATGACAAAAAAAAAAAAATCTTTGTTATCTCCATTTGTTTTTGATCCCTAAAGTTTACATTTTGGTAGTTGATACAGATTTGCACATTTAGGAAAGAAAATTGCTGTTCTACAATGCTAATATTGGTAGTAATAGAGAGAGAGAGAGAGAGAGTGAGAGAGAGAGAGTGACGCCAAACTGCCAATCTATATGATCCTCAAAGGAATAAATGTCTTAAAACTATAACACAGTGGCTTTTCACAAAAAAGGCAGTATTAAAAAAAGAAACTGTTATTTATCTCAAGCTCAGACAATGACGAGTTTGAAGATTTAAAAAAAGACAACATCACGAGAGAGAAAAAATAGTTGGGGTTTTTTCTGTGTGTTCACTCAGTAAGTTCTCACAGACTGGTCGGGACTCTGGTTAGATGTCAAATCAGACGACTCCACTGTTGAGAGAATGTTAGCTGGGTAGCTGGCACTTCCCTAACCCTGCATACGAAGCCCTGACAGGATGTTGTGTTCAAAGCCCGTTGTCCCTGTGACTCCTCCAAACTCTCTCCTCTTATGTTTCATGCAGAGCATGATTTCTCTGGCTCGTCAGGGAGTAGGAACCATCTCACAATGCTCAGAACAGCAACCTGTTTTCAATGCTGTCTTAAACAAGAGAAGTGCCTTGTGTATGAATGATTCTTTTGTAAGAACAAGTTGATGTAAATGTTCATTTACCTCAAATGTTTACAAAACTGTTACTAAATAAATTTTTTGTACCATATTTGTTGTTCTTGCTTTTTACTTTTGCTTTACACATTGAATTAAATTCATCGATCCCACACACACCGACACAGAGTTGTAGACTTGTAGACTGTGGACTGGATTTCAAGTTGAGGACTTAAGACACAACCCTTAAAGACTTGACTTGACCTTGCTTGACCTGAGCAAAAACATTAAAAGTTTTAAGTTTTAACCTGGTAAAACCCAAACAATAATTAACAAATGAGCATTGTTTTTTGGATTATAATTTCAATTGTCATTAAAGACATGCGTCTTGAGTTACAATTTGGTGACTTTTTCAAAAAAAACATTTAAGCTTTATTTTAACAGGAAAGTCCCATGTAAATTTTTGTGACTTTACTTGGACCTGCCCGTAAAAAACAGCAGACATTAGCTATCTTCAACTCAAAAATGATACCAATCTGCAGGTTTCATTCAAGGTAGATTTGCATCAGGTTCAACAACACAATCAAAGCATGGATGGGGACTGAAACCATGATCATTGATTTATAAGACCAACGCCTTACCATTTGGTCACCATGCCACGAAAAACATGGTTGTTTTTGATAATGTAACAACATTATGTCCTTGCCATCTGACATCTTTTTCCAAATATAGTGCATTGAAAGACAAAACCAGAATTGTGTCACAAGGGCTTAATAAATGCTCGTTGGGAGTTTTCTTCTTCTAACCAATCAGAGGGTCAATCCATATTTTGAAAAATGTGACTTGTATTCTTGGAGAAACTTTTCCCCCGAAATGTCTAGGAGGGAAAAGTCTTCTTGGGATCAGTCAAAGATGGACTGTGTGTTTAATGCAGGGAATTTTTGAGCTTCTCATTCATCCATTACTCCATTAGATGCTTCTTCAATTAGCAGGTAAACGTTCAGGATATTCACCCAATGTCCATCTTCTAGTTCTGAGGAGGGACAAACATGTTTATATATTGGACAGAGCTTCTTTTAGAGGAAATAAAAACTCACATCACATATTCAGAATATGAAATGCAGCTGACTACTTGCAAAGAATTGTTTGGTAAGAAAGCCAACCTGCAGGAATCAGGATTGAAAACCCCTTCATCTTCTAGATGACTTTAAACAAACATGGCAAAGAGTCAGGTGTGAGAATCACCTTTTCAGAGGTTCAGGGTAAAAAGTCCAGACAATAAGACATATCACATCAGGAGATGTGATGATATAAACTTGGGTATGAATGTTCATTCTTCATCTTGGAAACAGTAGTTTCCAAAAAAGAAAATTTAACTCAAGGTCCACTTAGTAGACTGTATATATTGTTTTATTTTATTTTATATATAACCATATTTTAATATAGGACTACACTTAATTATGTTGTGTGTGTAGCATAAAGGAACTACAAATTTCGTTTCCTTATGCAGCCTTGTGCTGTATAATGACTAATAAACAACCTGGTATCTTGCACCTTGATTTGGATTGTAAACTCCCTTCTCAAGTGCTGTCCATTTTAATATACCATAAAACCAACCAGTATGAATATTACAAAAAATTAGGATTTTTTTATATCACTTTTTTTACCATACCAGTAAGTCTGAATTGTTTCCTTAAAATTAACTAATGAATGAATTGTGGACCCCTGCGACCCCGTATGCAGGATAAGCGGTTGACGATGGATGGATGGATGGATGGATGGATGGATGGATGGAATCTAACTGATTTTACAATAGTATGTGGCATGTTCATATTGACAAATGTTTAAACATTTATATTTGTTTGTACAATATCAGCAGCTTAGAAGTAGCTCAAGAGGGCGACCCGGTGGGCTGTAAAAGATTCTATAAAAACCAGACAGGCTGCTAACTGAGATGTGGTTTTATTTGTCAGAATGTGTAGCCACACCAGGCCAGTACAGTAGGACAGGCATCTAATTGGTACTAAGTTTTTTAGGTTTTATGCTATCTTTATTTAGTCTGCATCTAATATTTTACATAGATTTCTGTACTTTGTTCAGTTATCTTTATTTATTTCCTTTTATTATTATTTATTTCATCAGTCACTGCATTTTAAATTCATAAAAACATTTTAATTTATCACATTTAAATTTTTTTGCATATGCAAGATAATGAGTCTTGAACTTTGTTTTTCATTTCCTGTGTATGTGGAGATAAAGAAGATTTATCTAATAACTTCTGTTTCCAACCTCAGTAATGTTTTGTTTTCATATATTATTGCCAGTTACATAATCTGTCAGTTTTTTTTTGATGCAGCATTCTTGTTTATTTGAACTGCTGCTTCCTGTTCGCTCTTCAGGTCATGTGCTGCCCACATCAGCATCACGAGAGCTTGAGTGTCTTTGCCATTACTCTCTTTGTAGACTCTTTGACCTCCGACCTCCCAGCCGCTCACTCCCTCAATCTGCATTCCAACAGCAAATGTCAGAATGTGACGCTGAGTCCGAGACACACACATACACACACAGCCAGACCCACTTCATATCCACATCCAGAAATAAGTAAAGTAAGGCGGGGGTGTCAGTCTTACACCTGAGAGTCAAACATCGATCACAAATCTGCACCACCACAAGAGCTGAGTGATAATTTACAACACTGTGCAAAACATGATAGAGGTGGGTGAAATTTACAGCTGCTGGGAAAGTTTGTTTTGATCTTTTAGCACAGTGGCCTATATATGTTGGAACAATATTGACTCTGACATACTAAAGAGCCCCCAAAATATCTCCTGATCAGTAACAGCTAAGTGAGTATGGGGCAGTGATGCCCAATACATACCATTTATGCAATGTGGGGTACCATAAGGCAGCCAACGGTGGATTCTAGCATTCCTGTGAAACCACATAAATGCAATTATTCAATTTAATAAATTAATTAGCATTGCTGGGACACAAGACTGGTTTAAGGAGCTCGCAGGTGCTACCACCCAAAAAAGTCTTTAGGAAAGGAAGTCTAAAAACAAAGACTTAATTGTAGATACTGTTAAGATGAAACCTGAAAATGAACACAGAAACTTAAAGTATATATAATTCTTATAATAGAACATCATGCATAGGGTACCATAAAGGAACAGTTAATGTCACAGGACAACGATTACAAGCTAGCTGGAGTAAGTTGAATGCTAACCTTGCAAGTCTTTTTTTCACTAACCTCGTCAGTGTAAATGAGGCTAACATTAAAGTGTAGTTTGTATTGATTAGAGTATTCACTGGTAAAAAAATACACTTGTGATGAGATGAGATTTTAACATTAGACATGTCCTAACATTACTTTAATTTTAGCTGCAATGATAGCATGTACGACTGGGTTTCTTACACATTATGTATAAAACATCTGAAAGCAAGCATCATATTTATGGGAGGAACTCTAATTAAATGGGGCTCCATAGTATGATGTGTTTCAGTTTAGGGGTCCTTGATGTGAAAAAGTAGCCAATTGCATTAAATAACCTGTAAAACCACCAGATGTTTGCTACAAAAAATGAAACTAAACTAAACAAAGTAAATCTAGAAACTTCCAAATCTGCTGCTAGCTAATATTGCTAAGCTAATGGTAGCTACCATTAGGCTATATATCACAACTTGTGTGTTCATAAGTTTAAATTTACATCTTTGACTATCTGGGCAGTTATTCATCGAATACCTTTTGTTAGTATTACAGCTTACAACACAGTATATGCTAATGTGTTCATGTAGAACATAGGCACGAATAAACTACGATACACTGGGTAAAGAAAAGTTTTGTCTATATTAGCTAAAAAGAAGAGGAAAGCCTAGTTCATCCTACACGATTTTAAGCCTGATTTGCCGGTCGGTGCACTCGGCAACCGTCAGGCTGTGATCAGAGGTAAATCAGTGATCAATCCGCCAGTCATTATGTGAATTCAACTGCCAAACAAATACACCCCTTCTTTCAGTGCTCCCTCATAAGCTCTGCCCCACAAATTTCAAATCTCTGAGGTTTCTCCAGTGTTGAAACCTGGCTGGAACACCTTTGCCCTTGCCTGTTCGAATGTGTCAGTGTATA